CCCTGACGGTCCCCTTCACCGCCTTGCCACCTGGCCTGATCCCCCGTAAGGTGGGCATCTACCTCGACTACGACAACGGCCAGCTGTCCTTCTACGACGTGGACAAACACTTGCACATCTACACCTACAACGAGACCTTCACCGAGAGGCTGTTCCCGTTGTTTGGTACAGTGGAGATTGTTAGGGATCTCGTGATCCGGTCTCCAGTAGTTAAGACCCACTGTCTCTGCCCCACATCCTGCCTGTGGGCCTAGGTTTCTCACACTCCCAACCACCACCCACCAGTCAGGTTTTCCTGTATGAGCCAGTAAAGTTAAGAGTATAAGAACCCAGAATAGCAGTGAAATCCTGATATAAATGAATACTCTGTATGCTGCTTCTGCTTTAATGTGATTTTTGCTGCTATTTTCTCGACATAGAGTTAGAGCACCACCCTCTGATTAAACTCTGATGTAAAAATCTTCTGTAATGTGAAATGCTAATATGATAACAACAAGGCACTTCTGTGAATAAAGAATAAACCAAATTCAGTTTTAATTGCGCTGTTTATTTCTCTTTCAAGCCTTTAAAAAAGATCTTTAAATTCTTGAATTTATTCATTTTAGCCACTGTTAGTTACCGTTTCCTTCCCATTCTCTTCTGACTTTCTCACATCTTCTGATATAACATCAGTTTTCAGAATTATCGAGGGAAAAAAAACAAGCACAATATTCATGTAGAAAGTCCAAGTCTTTCTACAATTTTAATATTGTCCAGTCTTGTCACTAATACTAACTTGAAAACTAATGGTGGAGAGCAATGTGATAGATCTCTGAGTTTCTGCAAAGTTACTTACAATAGAACATTTCTGATTTCTGCTTTAGAGTGTGCTTGTTTTGCCCAAAAGATGGTTCTGTCTGCAAATACCAGTAGATCAGCAGTTCCTTAAATAATCAGAGATAAGCCAGTCAGATACCAGCAGCGCTTGCCTTCCTCATTCTAAATGCATTTAAAATGAGGAAGACACAACATCAGATTTTCTAATATTGTGCAGCCACAGTAGAGCCTCAGCCAAGCCTTATTGTAATTTCCATTCGTTTTGAGAATTTTAAGACTAATGACCAGTCACATAGTTTCCTCTAACAATGCTTTGTACAACAAAATAGCCACTTTGTCATTTAGAAACTAACATCAACCTGTAAGTGATTACTGAAGTATTTTATCATCTGCAACTTACACTAAGCCCAACTTGTATTAAAATTAAAATACTTAACACCAAATAAAGCCAATTTTCTTAGAATTCATGGGAGTGTAACATAAAGCTGCCTTCATTCATTCATTTTGCAATATATTTGTTTTTATTAATGTTGGAACCTGACGGAAGTGCAACAAACAGCACTCTATAAATCACAGCAGGTCGTTGTTTTTTTAATGAATGTACAATAAATTCATGCAGCAGGAAGCAAGGGTCAAGAATGACGACATCTAATTCAAATTTCAGGCTTAAAAGTCAGCGCGTGTCTCAGCAGGTGCACCCAGCTGAGCCAATCAGAGCTCGAGTTCACTGTCACCAATTATATCATGGCTGACTTTTTTTTTTTTATTTTATTTTCGGTTAAAGTTGAAAAATCTTCAAAGTAAATAACCTGATGGCTACAATACATAAGCACGACGAGAACAGATAATTGATATCGTTACTTTCATTTCCTCGTCTTGTTTCCCGACTCAAATGACGTAATAGGTGTGCGACGAAGAGAAAGTTGTCTGCAGTCAGACGAAGGATGTCAACAAGTTTAAAACAGGCTTTAAAATCTCACTTTGGCTTCGACGGCTTTCGGTCTAAACTACAGGAAGATGTTGTTAAGGCTGTCGTTAGAGGTAAGTCTTAAAACGGTGTAGTTAATTCGTAGTTTCTCCTCAGTCTTTTGTCTTTTCTCTGCCTTAGCAGCAGAGTAGCAGCAGTGCTATCCCATTCAGGACATGCAACATTTAAAGCGAAAGGAAGTCAAGCCGCCTTTCGTTGTTAAAAAATGGGACTTTTTTTCTTGTCTTGTTTTAGGTCAGAGGGATGTGTTCGTGTGCATGCCAACCGGAGCCGGGAAGTCTCTGTGCTACCAGCTGCCTGCAGTGCTGGCTGAGGGTATTACTCTGGTCATATCCCCGCTAATCGCTCTCATTCAGGTCAGACTCTTCCCTCTCCTCATACTGACTCTGCAGAGCAATCTGTGGGAGCTCTGTTGCTCGCAATTCAAAAATAAAATCTCAACAAGTCTCTGTGAATGCCATCACACAGCAAAAACAGGACTACAGAAAGTTATTGCTGTTGTGTTTTCTGAAATGCCTCTTTAGAATGTGATCATGTACAGAGCCTTGCTGCTCACCTTTTTGATTAACTATCTCTAGAATACAGCATCTGCTGCAGTCTAACACGCACTTCTACCCAATAAAAGGTTACTAAGGTAGAGTTTAATTGTCTATTTTATTGCGTGTGCAGTGATTTTGGTAGGTTGATGGTTTAATCCTTTTATCCCTGTGGAATTCTGTTTTCTTGGATTTTGTGCTATCTTGTCACAGCGCATTGGTTCAACTTTTTCTGTAAAGCCTCTCAAACTTGAATGAATGTCCCTGTTAAAATAACTAGCTTGTTTATATTGAAAAATAGAATTTAAAGGATGTTTTTCATATTTAAGAAAAAACAATTCAGTTTTCTTTAGTAGAAATCACATTTGACTAGACAGTACCCACTTTAGCTGATATAGTTCTTCAAAGTTATTATATAGTGGTTACCCATTCAGGTAACCACACAGATTTTCTTAGATTCATTCCCTCCTAAACAACCAGGCCATTCAATTAACCAACCAAGTTAGCACATCTTTTTCAATTTTAAGATAACCGCAGATTAAATTGACAGTATCGATGTGGGGTTTTGCTTTACCTTACACACTGCTGATATTTTATTTGAACTGCATGATATTCTCCAGGACCAAGTGGATCACCTGAAGAAGCTCAACATCGCCGCCTGCTCCATCAACTCCAAGCTTCCGGTAGGCGAGCGCCGTCTGATCCTGACTGATCTGAGGAGCAAGCGGCCCAAACTGAAGCTACTCTACATCACTCCAGAGATGGTGGCCTCTCCCTCTTTCCAGCCCTGCCTGACGGACCTGTGTTCCCGCGGCCTTCTGTCCTACTTGGCTGTGGACGAGGCTCACTGTGTCTCCCAGTGGGGCCACGATTTTAGGCCGGACTATCTCAAACTGGGTGAGCTGCGGGCTCGCATACCAGGAGTTCCCTGTTTGGCGCTGACGGCAACAGCTCCCAAGAACGTTCAAGAAGACATTGTTCAGTCACTTAAGCTGCGCTGTCCGATGTCTTTCGTCACGCCCGTCTTCCGCAGCAACCTTCATTATGATGTGATCTTCAGGGATCTGCTGCCGAACCCTTATGCTCACCTCCATGCCTTCATCAAGAAAGCTCTGGCTATGGACAGTGGATCTGCAGCACAGGTTTGTAAAATAGAGCTTTGAGTGAATATATTGACATACTACACAAACTTGGTGTTATTTACCACAATGGAAATGATATGCAGCATCTTTGGAGTCTTTTGATTCATCTTCCGCCTTTATGTCTCCCACTTAGAAAATAGAAATGCTCAGTTTGAAACTTGTTTTGAATTTTCTTATTTAATAAAGAAAGATGCGTTGAATCAATCAGAGAAATGCACATTTGCCTTTTAGTTATTTTATCACAAAGCAAAATGAGCAGTGGTTCCCAGAGATCAAGCTAGAGAGAGAAGTGAAACTTAAAATCATTCAATTCTATTTAATATGTTAATATTCAGTCACGTAAACATAGTACTTCCCGTTTAGCTACTTCTCCTTAGGGAGTTTTTTCCCCCACGCTTATAACAAAGAAATCTCAGTTTGCTTTTCTCCGGGTCTGCAGCTGTTGCCCTGCTTGTTATCAGTTCTGTTTCTACCAGTAAGTCAGCCAAAGTTTTTAATTTGCCACAACAAGCTCTTAAAGTCTTGATTGGTGAAGACAGAAAACTCTCTAAAGCTTTTTAGCAGGAATAGACGGATGTAATATTTTTTGCCCCCCCATCTATGAGAATCATTATGCTCGCTCAGCTTTTATTGCTTTATCTCTGTTGTCCAGAGTTAAAGCAATAATATGCCACAGCTCCTAATTGATGCGCAAATTTTCTGCCTGTATGTATTTAAATCAGATACAAATTAGTCAATTCATACATAATGAATTTTCTTTTTTTTTTACACTGTTTGTGTTCAGGGCTGTGGGATTGTTTACTGTCGAACCCGGGAAGGCTGTGAAACGGTTGCTTATCAGCTGAACAAACTCGGAGTCATAGCGAAGGCTTATCACGCAGGTAAGATGTTTAAATGTGTCCAAGGTTTTTAAACCTCACATGCAATCTGGGTTTCAAGTGACAAGACTCTGGATTTTTGTAGGCATGAAGGCAGCTGATCGCACAGAGGCGCAGAACGAGTGGATGCAGGGGAAAGTGCTGGTTATTGTTGCAACCATCAGCTTTGGCATGGGAGTGGACAAAGCCAATGTCAGGTAAGGGAGCAAATATCCTGTTTCTGTTTTCCTGTTCTCTTATTTCTATTTTGACACACAGGCTGATGTTATTGCAGATTTGTTGCACATTGGAACCTCGCAAAGTCTCTGGCGGGTTTCTACCAAGAGTCCGGACGAGCAGGTAGAGACGGTCTGCCCTCGTTGTGTCGCACATATTATAGTCGGAAGGATAAGGAGCAGCTGCACTTCCTTATTCGGCAGGAAGTCACCAGGAGACGGGTCAGATTAGCAGCAGAAGAGCTTGAGAATGATGAAACGTTATCACCAAAACATTGGCCTGAAGGTTTCTTTAATTTCCTTTAGGAGAAACGAGGCTCTTTCAAAGAGACTGACAAAGCAGCCCTCACGGATTTGGAAGCCATGGTCTTGTTTTGTGAGCATGAAGGGTAAGAGACGCATTCGACGCACACATTATTTAAAAACAACTTTTTTATTGTATAAAAATCACTTCACTACATTATGATGCAGTAAAAATCTCACATCAGTATACTTGAGCTCATTTAGCAGTTTCAGATATAAACATTATTCCCTTCTTTGAATATCCAATTTCTAATTTCAGAACAGCAGGGGGCAGACTTGCTTTTCTATGCCCTTCTTTCAATGAACACTTGAAAAAAAAAAAGTCTGCGAAGCAGCGAGGCCGAGAAAGGTGAACCACGTCATAGCGAGGGTTCACTGTATTCACTTGCTTATAAAGTTAAAACAACATCTTTCTATTCTAATATTCCTCACAGAGGAATGATACAAGGTCAATATAAATCATTCTCAAACAAATATGGCTTTCTGCTCATCTAGCACTGAGTAGCTTCTTGTTTTTTAAAAACCTGTAAACCTGTTCGATGCTGCGTATTTGTTTATCAGCCAGTTGTTACCGGCCCTGCCTTCTCCTCCTGGTAGACGAGCTGTTGTTGCTCCGCAGACGGGGATGCTCCAAAGGAATGCTGCTTCTCCTGAAAGCCTGGTAGCATTAACAGGTGCTTTGATAGTCTAGAACGCAATCCGAGAGTTTGTTTTGTTGCGCTGTGGCACCGCCTCCTTTCTTGTGCACACGCTGTGCAGCTTGTGTCTGAAGCCCGGGGACGATTTCTAAGCACTGTGGTGAACAGATCGGCAGGAAAAATCCTGTCGGATAGGAGAAATGTTCCCTTAGACGTCGAGCTCGTCTTGTTTGGATTTACAGCAGCAGCAGCAGCAGCTCACGCATGTGAGCACCATCATGAGAGTCACCATAACTGTTGGAAAGTTATATGTTTTAGTATCTTTTAAAAATTCCTTGAAATCTGTTTTTTAAATGAGGCATGACTCACGGATGAAGATTAGGAGGACAAAGAAGCCTCCCAGCTCCAGAGGGTGGGCACTGGGCAGACCTTGAAGCTTGAGCAGGACATTGTTCAGGAGACCCACTGTCTCCTCTCTGGCATCCATTGTGCTGAGGAGACCACAGAGCACAAAGGACATATATGAGTCTCATTAGTCAGTTTGTGTACACTAGGAAAAGGGAACCCAGGAGTTTTACTGCCTGTGTGTCTGAAAGGGAATCTACAATAATCATACGCATTGAACATTTTTACTGTTTTGTCTTCTTACATCCACAAATGAAACCTTCAATTAAAATCCAGTGCAACCAGTTGCCTTCAGCGATCACCTCATGTGAAGGGCACTGGAACTTTTGCTCAAATTGTAAACATTTATTTGATCAATTATTGCCACAGATAGCTTCGTAAAATATTTAGACTTGGACTTTAACTAGGCTGCTCTAATACATGCATACATTCCTAGTAGTTTTGGCTGAATGTTTGGTTTTGTTCGGCTGGAAGGTGAAACTCCACCCCAGTGTTGTGGGTGTTTATAAGACATGGTTTGCTCTGGTTTTGTTTGGAGTAACACAAATACTTGTTTAACTTTTCAGATTTTTATGCGAAGGACATTTTTAGGAGCCACGTTTCAGGTGCAGTTGTGCTTTGCTCCCGACACAAAATTAAAAGAACAACAAATAAAATCAAGTTTGTTGCTGTAATGTCAGAACACATGGAGAGATTCAAGAGTTAGGAATAATTTTGTGAAGTACTTTAACTATAAGTTCAGCCTTTTCTGCCCTGTAGTTTCGCACTGTAATGAGCACAATGGGAGGTGGAAGCAGATTCCAGGTGCTGCCGTGTTCTTGCTGAATTGCTCACATGGGTGTGACGCTCTCTTTTCTTTTGTGGTTTTAGATTTACGTTACAATTTAAACAAAAGTCTACAATTATTAAACTTGCATGTATCAAAGAGCCTTAGCCGAATGTTTTCATGGCTAGGGACACGTGACCATTGAAAACTGAGGAGCTGGCGTTGCTCAAGTGATTTTAAGCACAAGCATATGTTTCTCTGGACAGCATGTACTAAATATAATCAGAAACAGCTCTGAGCAAAGCTATCCGCATGAGTTTACTGTAATTTTAGACTTTTTACTTACATTTTTTTGAAAACATTGAAACTAAGAAAGAAGTCAGATTAGTTCGTTTCACTCCAAACTTTTACAGACTGGATGAACTTTTTTTCTGTCTCAGTCTAAAACGCAAGTACCAGAACAGTTTATCTGCTTTTTCCAACAAAAACATGCAGGATGCTTTTGCCAATTGGGGCAGCACCACATTGATGGGTCTTTAAATCTCCGATGGATCTATTTTACTTAAAAACAACCTTTATGTACAAGATACTGCTGTAAATCAGTCATTTCCATGTAATTTGATGCATGCTGCTCTGACTTTCTAGCATATGTTTACAATTAAATCCTTATTTTTAAGACATTCTTCTAGCTTTTTCACAGCTGTCGCTATTTTTTAAGTCATATTGGTGCAGAGGAGGACTGAAAGACACCTACCTGTGAGAGTCTCAGCAGTTTCCCCACTGACACTCAGCCCACACTGAGTGTCAGAAGCTCCTGAGCCAACAGAAGAGGAGGAGGAGGAGGAGGACAGGGTGGAGACCGTGTGAGCATGCTACAGTGTGTTCCCAGGAGCAGTTCCCCTGCAGAGCGTTTTGTCTGGCAGAACTAGTCAGTTGGTTTGTTGTTGTGTGACGCTGTCCTAAAGTAGGACGGAAAGTCATCTTTTACCTTTGCTCTTGAGTTCTTCCCCTTGCTGCCTCGCCTGGCTCAGAAGCTGCACTTTTCTCTTTGACAGTCCTGTCTGGGAGGGGCTGCTGCTTCACACTTACTGCTGCCCTCTGGTTTACTCCTCTGCTTGCTTTGCTTAAGCTTCCCTGTTCACACAAAAGGAAGTGGCAGCGTTCCCGTTTCCAGCGTTGGGGTTGATGCGGCCGATTCCCAAACGGGCTGTGTGGATGTTAGTGGTTATGTAACCAGGTTTCCAAAGCGAGACTGTCTGGTGTTTTTTTGCCAATTGGGGCAGCAATTGGGTGTTTTAGAATCTGAATTGTATTAGGACATTTTGTGAAAGTGAATTTGTGATAAACTCATTTTTTTCTTAAAAAAAAAATAAAAAATTACTCACTGACTTCATAACAGAAGCATTGATTCTTAATATTCTTAATATGTGATGGTTACACAATAGCTGATGATCAATAAGGCTCTACTGGGTAATGGAGGATCATTAGCTTTCTCTCATCTTTTATCCTCTCATCCAGTGATGCAAAAGATTCATAGACTTACGGTTAATTGTTGATTAGTGGTTTATTAGATTAAAATTGGTTCCAATCAACTCACTAATAACGTCCACTTAAGCCTTCTCTGTTGTCATTTGGACGTCGTCCAGATGAGGGCGCCTCTGGTCATCCGTAAGTGGAGTCAGTGGATACAGAAACAAAGATGGCGGTAACAGAATGGGAAAGACAAACGGTCCAAACAGAGTCTGGTTTGGGATGTAAAAGGCACTTTATATGATTCTGTTTAGAAATATGAACCCTTGACAAGATCCTTAAGTTCCAGTTTATGGGATTCATGGGGATTACATTTCTTATTTCTTTTACATATTTTATCCTATTTATCTTTTATTTTTCAGCAGCTTAGATGTTTGTTTATTTTTTTGTAAATATAAAATTTAATAACATGAGAAAACAACAATTTATTACAGCTGACACTAATGTTAAATGTAATCATACATATTTATTTATTTAAATTAAGCATATTATGAAAAATTTAGCAGTTCATGTTCTGTAAATATGGTCAACCCTGTTTATATGAGAGAAAACTCAGGCTTTTAAGAAAATTACTGGTCAATTGAAAAGATCCATCAACTGTAGATTATTAGCTCATTAATAGTTAACTTGCGTCCTTATTCTCATCAGATGTCGCCATGCCAACATCTCCAAGTTTTTTGGGGACGGGACGCCAAAGTGCGCGGGTGCCTGCGACTTCTGCCTCAATCCCAAAGACGTGCGGGCCCAGCTGGAGCGAGCGGCCGCTCTCAGCACCAAGACCGGAGAGGGCCAAAGTGGAGAGCCCAAAGGGCCATTCGGGTACCAGCCGGAGCAATATGAAGGAGGGAAGAAGGGCTACGGCTTCGAAAGGCAGGGCGAACGCTTGTTACGCTTTCTGAGATGCAGTTTTAATGCGATTTGCAGTGATGATGATGATGCTGCTGCATTCTACCTCTGCAGGTACGATGAAGGGGAGGAAGGAAGTGTTGAAGAGGAGACCAAAAAGAGGAAGAAAGAGTTTTCTGACCTCTTCAAGAAGCAGATGAATCTACGGAAGGTGACTTTAAATATTTATTCAACAATTTGATACCTAGCTGAGCACATCTCAGTTATGCTTTTCTACCGAAATGGGATTTCTTTTTATATGTTTTCAAACATGAAAAATGCATAGAACAAAATGTGCCCCAACGCATCACCTACCTCCCCGCAATTAGTTTCAATCAGCATTTGCTGAATTTTTGAGCTTTTCTATCATCTGTATGCAAGCTGTTAGCAGCAAAGACTGGCCATTCCTTTTGGAGCCCGTCTTGTGAAATCACTCCCACATGTTGGAGAGAACTTGGCACAATGTTTGAGTCAAACTGCTCTAAGCGGCGGCCTGCCAAACCCTTTACAGAACAACATAACAACACAGGAATGTCAAGACGGTGAAAGAAAAACCTAAACCCCTTTCTGACAGTGCAGTCCGATAGAAAAAACGACTATCACAGTATCGTGTCGGTGTGAAAACGCTGACTCATGTTGATGCTTGTATGTCTTCAGGGCTCTGACGGCCGGAGGGAGGACTTTGTTCCACCAGGTACCGCCAACCAACAGTGGGATAAGACACAGAGATGAGTCGAGAGGTTTATTGGTGGAGTAACAAGTCGTTCCTGTTGTGCAGATGCTGACTGTCCGCTCAGAGAGGCCAGCAGCCAGAGGATCCCCCGGCTCACGGTGAAGGTACATGACAGGAACACATTCCTCTCCTGCATTCATTAATGAACGCTCGTTAACCCGAAGGGGAGGCGCCGTTTAGCAGATGTGGGTCCAGCCACAGCAAAATGTGTAGACTTTATTTGAAATGCATTTTTCCTTTATGTGTCCACCATGTAGTTGCTCTTTTGATACAAGAATGTGAAATGTGTATTTTTATTTAGGTATTACCTCACAACGGACGTTCATTTCATATGACTAGATTAAGATATGAAGTTTAATAAACAGGTTTCCAGGGTTAATCAAAAAGTTACATTTCTTCATGGCTTCCTTCCTCTATTAAAAGTCTACATTAAATAAAAGGTGAATTTTTGTTTGTACATTTTAAAAACATGCCACAAAGCAGCCTGAGAACTGTAATAAATACATTTTGACATAACAAATGTAAAAAAAAAGTAAGTTTAGTAAACTTGAGTCTCGTTTCAGACCAGAGAGCATTGCCTGTACCGCCTGCGAGATGCTCTGCGTGACCACCAGGGGTCAGAAGACATATTCAAGTCAGAGGATTCAGATGTTCTCAACAGCCGTTCAGAGTGAAATAAATAACAGCCTTTATTTTCTTTCTGTCTCTCAGCTGGAGCAGTCTGATGTCAGCGGTGGATTTAGAGCACGAGGTTTTCAAAAGCTGCAAATCCTCCAACTTGTACAAAGCTGCCATCTTGAAGAAGGTAGATTGAAAATGTCTGCGTCACAATATGAGCGATTTATTTATTTATTTTAAATAAAACCGGGCAGGTTTTCTGTTTAACTCATCTGTTGTCCTGAAGGTGTCGGAAATCACAAAATCAGCGCCTCGAACGGAAGAAGGCGACTCCAGAGAAACAGAGACGAAACATAATGCCGATGGAAATTCTTCATGTTTATACCCAGAGGAGCTGCAGGGCTTCACCTCGGCCTCTCAGATCTACTCTGTACGAGTGGCTTTTTACACAAGCAGCACAGAACATTGAGCATGATTTAATTCTCCTTCTTTTTGCTCCAGATGAAGCGGAAAAGAGTGGGAGCGGGCCAGAGGGGCTCCTCTAACTGCTTCCAGTCCGCCAAGGACCTCCTGCATCCTGTGTCTATGAAAGTGACGGAGAATGGGGGCTTCATCGGCGACTCCTCCGCGGACGTCAAACGGATCAGGGTGAAAGAGACGGCATCATCCGTCAGAGCCGGAGCCGTCAGCCCGGCCAAAGCAGGCGGAGTCATGAGCAGGAAGCAGCAGAAGATGGCGGAAGCGGCGAAGAGTTCTCGCAACATCTCGCAGTACTTTGTGAAGAAGAAACCCTCAGAGGAGGAAGAGCTGCGCCCAGAGGAAGAGCTGCGCCCAGAGGCAGGCGGCTTGTCGTCAGAGACTCTCAGTGAGGTTTATGAAGAGAACTCAAGGCAGGAGCTGCATTCCCTGCCGAGCGACCCTGCGCTTGTAGAGACCGAGGATCTGATCCTGATAGAACCTAAAACGGAACTCATCGTTTTGTCCGACGATGAAGAGCAGGAAGTGGGAGGAGAAGAAACTTTGACTCTGGTTGAAGACATTCGTCATGAGGACACGACTACTATCACAGCGTACTTTAACCTCTGTAAACATTTCTATCAAACTTTACTGGCAAAGGTCTTTTTTACAACCTTAATTACATTTTCACCATTTTCAGACCAAAGGTAGAAGAAGAAGAAGAAGAAGCATCTCCCAATCTACTTTTAGCTCAAGAGGTAGAGTGTCTTACAAAAATATTCATAACACTTAAACTATTCCACCTTTGGTCTCATTATGGACACACACTTTAACAGGATTTATTGGAGATTATTGGTGCTCTCAGCTGTGAAGTGGACAGAGAATGAAGCATGGTTTTCCATTGTTTTACCCATAGAAAATCTGAAAAGTGTGGCATGCATTTGATTTCAGCTCCCTTTTGCTTGGATACCCCTAAATAGAATCTAGTGCAACTGACTGCCTTCAGAAATGACCTAACTGGTTATTCAAACAGTGTTTAATTTTCAGTAAAAATGCAGATGTTGTGTGAAAGCATCAGAGGTCTATTAAAGAACACGTGAAGACGAGAAAAACGGCAGACACACCAGAAATAAAGTTGACTAAACAGTTTTTAGTCACTCCCTTCACTACACAAAAAAAATAACTTAGATTATTGGATGTAAATATAAATAATGAGCATGAAGAGGGATCAAGTTTTGAAACGTTTTGTGAATTTATGAGGGAGAGCAAATTTCAATGCTGATGCATTGTGAAAAAAAAAAACAAACTAAAAACTAAAACTGCAAAGCAGAAGGTGATTGGCCCAAGCCAAAGAAAAACTCACTTCTAGATCAATAGATTTTATCTAACGTATATAAAAAAACTTCTTTTACCATAGTTGGTTAAGTAGAGAGCTATTTAACAAGTATTATTGGTTAAATACTTCTCTCATATTTAACCAATAACACCCAGTTTCCACTCACATCATGGAGGCGGACTAAGCAGAGGCTTCACCTACATTATTAATTACGCCTTAAGACAAAGATTTATTTGTTTAGCAGGTCAATAATATGAAATATTCAGCCAGAGCTACATATTCACTTGTTAGAAGGGCCTAGTCAAAGTCCATGAAGGAATTAAACTGCTTTTGCCAGAACAGGTTTCACTTCTTCTGATTCTGAGTTCATGGACCAACATGACTTCATATCATTTAGTTCTTGGCACTGGATGACGGCGCTGTGTGTTTGCAGGTCCCAGACGAGGTGGAAACGGAGCAGAAGGACACGTCTCCTGCGGCGAAGCGCAGCCGGACGTTGGGCTCTAGCAAAAGGAGAGTGACGTTCAACCTGGAGGTGCAGGAGAGGTCACTGCCGCCACCCGGTGACCCCGGTGAACCTGTGAAGGCCGTGACGCTGCAGGAAACGGCTAACATTGTGGTCCAATATCTCAACCCCTATTACACTCAGGGAAAGTTTGCTACTAAAGTGCGTAGAGTTCCATATCAGCAAATTAGAATTAAGTGTAATATGTGTTTAATAGATGTTTGAATGCTTTCACAGGTTTTGTTCAAGTCTTTTGCGCGATACTTGTCTCACCTTCTTACAGAGGGCAAAAGTTGTGAAACAAGCCAAGGTAAGTGGACATTTCACGTCAGATGAACATTTTGTTTTATTTAATTTTGTCACTGACTTTCCAGTAACTCTATCCTCTCTGTCTCCAGTTAAAGGTGAAGCTAAAGTTCTTATCAAGACGTTTTTCAGCAGAGTCCAGCGCTGCGAGAGCGAGGCCGACTGGGCGCACCTGAAGAGACCGCACAACTCCAAAGCCCCAGAGAGCAAGGACTGATGGGACATGCAGTCCTTTTCCTGTGTCAAAGCCTTCTTTATCAGTGCCTGTCTGGTTCCTGCTGTTGAGCTCAGGCTTTTTAATCAAAAAGCTTCAAATGAAGGGCTTTTGCAGCTGCTTGCACGTCATGTCATCACACGAGCAATAAAACTGACAGTCTGTCGGTGTAATGACTAGACAAGTGCTCTTAATGTTTTAGCCCCCTTCAGTCAAGTCATGTTTCAAATCTGTGCAAGATGTCCGAGTCCGCTTGGGTCCGTAACACAACTGCCTGATCCTCAACTTGAATCCAAGAAGTCAACGGGATTTCTTTTCTTTGTGGCAAAAATAAAAAGCCCAAGTGTGAACAGATTACATCACACACAACTGTATATAATTTATCTGGTTGAAGTGCAATCATAAGCAACAAAAGATGAATATGCTGAAAAACCCTTCATGTCAGTACAGCGGAGGAGCCGTCATGATGTGGGCCTGTTTGTTTCCTAAAGGACCTGGGGGTGGGGGGGGCCGTGGTCATTCAAACGCTTTAATATTTGAAATGCATGCTTGGCACAAAACAGGAAATGAGATACGACACAAACACAACCTTGCAAGTCCATTTCAGTTCTCAGATCTAAATCCTCGGAAAAATCTACGATGAGCTGAAGAGCAGAGAGGATTCTGGGTGATCTACTCAGACTGGGAAAAGAGGATCAAAGATCCCATCTTGTAAAATGTGGAAGTACAAAGAGCTTTTCTAAGGAAAGATGTTTGACACGCTCACTCTCCTCTTCGCTATGCAGCAACGTCGTACTTTAACGGTTAAAAGCTTTCAGACTAAAGTACTGCCGTGCATCCTGATGGAAAAGTGACTAGAACTGAAAGAGTTTCATACAACAGAGGTTCCCGTTCTGAGGACCCAATCACATAGCAGCCTTCAATATGTTTTATTAAAAAAAATTCTGTTTCTGAAATACATTGTGAGCATGTATGTGTCTGTATATTTAAAGTGGATGGGGATGAAGTCATTCTGGACTGTAAAACGTGGGGAAAGCTGCATCTCACTGTTGGGGCTAAAAATATATTTCAACAGTTTCCTCATGTTATATTTGCACGGCTGAAACAACTAAACGTGTGATTTTATAAAATCTGTTTTTCTTCAAAAGATTGTTTGACTGTCAATAATGGCAGAATATGGGAAAGAAAGTAAGAGATTAATTATTGTTTATGATAAAATAAGCTGTAGGCAGTGAGTGTCTCACACGGTGAAAAAACATCTGGTTTCTGATGTCTAAATTGTCTAAATTGAAGTTTATGGAAGCAGCTATGAACAAATCCAGTAAATATTGATGTCTACTCATCAGCTCCCAGCATTCAGGTTGTCAGGATGCGGTCAGAACTATCAGCTACAGAGAAATGATGCAGACTATGTCAGGTAGGAAGAGATGAGTACAAGACAGAGGACACGCTTACAAATAATAAACAGGGAAATTAGGCAGAAGAATCAAATGAGATGCATAAACAAAAATCAATCTGATTGACATGAGCTTAGGTTAGCAGGGATTTATAAAAGAACCAACATTTGAGAAAAACACATTTGGTGGGATTTAAGAGAAGCAAATAAGATTAATCACAAGAGACTGTTCAAAATCACAACTTGGGAGAAAATTATATTTAAAAAATGTCACAAATGGCTATTTGTGACTTGATCAAGTGTTCAGCGTGTTGCAAAATATGTTGGAAAATAGTTAAAATAATGGATTTATAACTAATATAACTTTCTTTCTTTCTTTTTCTCTGTCTTGTATTTCTTCCCATTTGCTTCTTCCTTGTTGTGGGCGGAACCAGGCCACTACTAATCCAACAACCTGCTGATTGTTGCCCAGTGATCTCCGGAGCTGGCATTTCCCAAGGCTCGTGAACGCAGCAGTAGTTGGTCCCCGGGCTGCAGGTTTGCGTCTTTAAAGGTCGCGGCCGCCGCTGTCAGAGGCTCCCTGAACCGCTGCATCTCTCCCGAGCCTCCAACACCTGCAGCTGGTTTCAGAAGCAGCAGCTGCTGGATTTCAGTCATCCAATCACTGAGAGAGGCAGCGCCGCTATTGTTTGTTGCTTCCACTTCCGGGCGGGTCTGCTCTTCATCTCCGGTGGAAGCAGAAGAAGAAGAAGCAGAAGGAGAAGGAGAAGGAGAGGAGCTGGAGGAGGAGGAGAAGTTCCACCCGGCATCGATGCTTCGAGCTGGGAGGATGGAGGAGTTTGTGACGGAGGAGGAGGAGCCGTGGTACGACCAGCGGGACCTGGAGCAAGGTGAGGTCATCCGAGGGGCGATGGGTGGGTCGCAGGGTTGCAAAAAATGCAGAATGGATGAGTGAAACCTCCCTGCATCGTCTCCCGGTACCTTCCTCCGCTAAGCACCGGGATCTGGTCAGGGAGGCATCCCGGAAGAACCCTGCGCTGCGTGAATGCAGCTTCTGTTTTCAGCTGCGTCCTCCGTCCTGGTACATCACTGTCCTCACGCTGCTGCTGCTGCTGCTGCTGCTCCAAGCCCGGAGAGCAAAGATCTCCTTTTGTTTCGACATGATTTTAGAGATCCGTCCGCCAGGCTCAATCAAAAATATATATATTACTAATTTAAGCTGGAATCCCACTTTATCATATATTCAGACCATCCTCGAATATCAAGCTACTTGGAGACACAAATCAGTTTTACTGGACCTTCCTGTCCAGATACTAGCTCTAATATTGGTTGCATTTATTTTTGCAGTGCAACAGGAAAACATGACAATGCAGTATCACTGCTGGATATGGTGATTCTGTCTCTACCTGGATCAGCTGTGGGCACAAAGGGCTGCAGAGATGGACAAACATGCTTTTGGAAATTTGAACACATCTGAAATATTGCCGCCCACCAAATGTTGTACCTAAACAGTCCTGTGCAATAACAACTGGGACATGAGGACATGCTTTGCAGTCGTAGTTGTGATTTAAATCTGCAAGCAAACAAAGAGTAACGCGTTTGAAAATGCGTCGAAAGAGAGGTGAATAATTTTACTAAATGAACTGTAGACATAATTTGCCACATAGATGTAGAGATGGTGTCATAAAGTTCAAGTATTTTTAGATTTTGCAGCTGTAAAGGTTAGAGCTCTTACAATTCACATGTGCATTTCAAATACATAACTTTTATATATCTGAAATACAAATGTGAGTCGTATCTTATATATAAAAAAAAAAAAAAAAATTCCCTTCTCACCCACCGCGGGTGGTTCTTATCCTCTGAGCTCGGGTCCTCTACCAGAGGCCTGGGAGCTTGAGGGTTCTGCGCAGTATCTTGGCTGTGCCAAGGACTGCACATTTCTGGACTGAGATGTCTGATGTTGTTCCTGGGATCTGTTGTAGCCACTGCTCCAGTTTGGGGGTTACTGCCCCGAGGGCCCGATGACCACAGGCACCACTGTGGTCTTCACCTTCCAGGCCTCTCCAGTTCTTCCTGAGGCCCTGGTATTTCTCTAGTTTCTCGTGCTCCTTTTTCCTGATGTTGCAATCACTTGGTATTGCTACATCTACCACAACGGCTTTCCTCTGTTGTTTATCCTCTACGACAATGTCTGGTTGGTTCGCCATTACCATTTTGTCTGTCTGGATCTGGAAGTCCCCAGGATCTTAGCTCTGGCGTTCTCCACCACCTTTGGGGGTGTTTCCCACTTTGATCTTGGGGTTTCCAGTCCATATTCTGCACAGATGTTTCTGTACACTATGCCTGCCACTTGATTATGTCGCTCCATGTACGTTTTCCCTGCCAGTATCTTGCACCCTGCTGATGTGCTGGACTGTCTCAGGGGCCTCCTGCACAACCTACACCTTGGGTCTTGTCTGGTGTGGTAGATCTGGGCCTCTATTGCTCTGGTGTTTAGGGCCTGTTCCTGGGCGGCCAGGATGAGGGCCTCTGCTGTCCTTGAGTCCAGCTTTTTCCAGCCATTGGTAGGACTTACTGATATCAGCCACTTGGGTTATTTGCTGGTGGTACATCCCATGTAGGGGTTTGTCTCCCATGATGGTATCTCTGGCACCTCAACCTCCGTTCCTGTTGTCTGAGACATTCACTGAGCACATTGTCTGTTGAGGCTTTGTCCCTGATGTATTTATGGATCTTAGTTGTTTCGTCCTGGACAGTGGTTCTCACACTCACTAGTCCTCTGCCTCCTTCCTTGCGGCTCGTGTACAGTCTCAGGGTGCTGGATTTGGGATGGA